GCGCATAGACATGAAGCCAGAGCCGAATCTATGTCTGGCGTCTTTACAAGAGAACCGTTCAAAGACATATGATCCTACGCGGCCTAGCGCTTGCCCGAAATTCTCCCGTTATTTTAACCGGTGTATACTTCCGACGGTAAATTAGTAATTAAGCAACAAGTACTGGATGATTCACGCGAGTTTTGTTTGAAACATGTAAATTCAGCGTGAGGCTCAAGTGTGTATACATTGGTTTTTATCTTACGAAACTTTTACCGAAAATTACGAGTTTGCTTTTAACGATACGCTTGAAGGCTATTGTCGTAATAGGAAAGGGTGTCACAAGTGCTTCCCCTCCACGCCAGGGTTAAATACTGTCAAACTAGTAAGCAGGAGGAGAAACCTGTCGGTTTAAGATACACATAGTAGAGTAGGTCAGCCAAGTACTATCACCTGAGCTGAGGTGTAGTCAGGGGCAGGACCCGCCAAAGCGCACCACGGGGGGGAGGAAGAGAGGGGGCGGCGTGGGCGCCCCCCTATCATTGCAAGAAACCAAAGGAAAGAGGCCAAGATAGACCAATAGAAAAAGAAAAGAAAAAAAAATAGAACAAATGAAAGAAAGGAAAAGACAAATGAAAACATCTTGCGAACACTGGGTCTTGCAAATGATGGTGGGTGGGGGGTCCCCCAACCGCCATCATATTGGACTAAGAAAACGGAAAAGACGAATGAGAGCATTCGTTGCAAATAATAGGGGGATCGCCCAAAGAATAAGTGGATCGTAGGGCTAAACATTAGCTGACCACTTTCAGACAAAATCGGTAAAATTAAGTGCTCGACAATTCCAAATGACGCCATTTTATTACCTGTGGGCTTCAAATCTGAATAATACGAGGACCTGTACAAAGGTGCACGTGTTATTGTCGCTTGCGCGCCCGCAAAGTTTGGTGCGAACACATCTCCGATCATACACTGACAGATGATGCGCTTCGTTTCGCGCGGTGGACGCGTAAAGAGAACACCTTAGAGGGTGTTCCACTATTGGCCAAGCTGAATGTATAAAGTTATTTTCATTAGCAAAAACGTTAGAAACTGACCTCTAATAATCTCTTATCATGCTATCTTTATTTTTACCTCCGCCCCAACGGCATGTTGAACGCGGGAGGTTTATGGTATCTACACGGCGCGTCTGTGCGTTACCCGTAAGTGACAACGCTTAGCCCGAGCACGCGGCTCACGCAGAACCAAGCGACTCAGGGCCAGAACCAAGGGTGTGTGGTGTGTGGTGTGTGTTGTTCGTGTGATGTGTGTGTGTGTGTGTGCGTAATATCCGTGGGTTCTTCGTTCAACGATGTATCAGTAAAAAGAGGATCGTGCACAAATGGCGTAATGGCACCGTATATTCGCCTGGCGGCGGTATGACCTCTCGATGCCGATGTATATAGATGGACCACGCTCTGTCTAGCATGTTTAGTTAAGTGTGTGTGCTGTGTCGTGTGTGCATGTAGCGTGTGCGTGCGTCGCGTATTTTCTCCTCCTGCTACATAAATACAACACTTACAAAGTTCATTAGTATGCAAAAGTGCACACATAGATTTTAAGAAGCAATCAACCTGTTCCCCCTTTGGTTTCACAGGGCGGAAAAAGTTGATTCCACACATGCAGGTGTCCGGAGACTTCGGACCGCTGCTTTGGCTTGAGGAACGCTCGTCCAAGTTTTATAGCATTGAATTTCAGCAGAAATCTGACGCTAGCTTAGGTGGTTCGCGGGGAGACAGGGCTTCCACAGCGTTCATTCCAATCGGAAGCCCATTTCGGAACATGCAGGCGCGGATGCTTAACCACAGAGCATACTCGACCACAATTCAATACATTATTTGCCACGAGACCCAGAACCAATTCTACAGGCTCTGGGGGTTAGTTCAAGAGCCCTCCCCCCCCAGGGGGGCTTCCTTATTTTTTTATTCCTTCTCTCGAGCAGGTCGGCGAGATATCCGCGACTACGCCTACCATAGAGCTTTCGGTGGAGCTGGTCATACGACGGGTACCCCGGACCGCACTGCACCCCCACCCGGGGTTCCATCTCACTTCCGTATGGTATATGTTGCTCCTGGAGGCTGCGCTCTCGCCTCAGGAGCCAGGACATTTTGGGTAGGTATGTGCACGGGAGCAATTTGAGCGTTCATTTCTCGAGATTAGCCAAAGCATTCCGTGAGAGAGCAGCGTACTCCCACGCCCGACGGTCAGCCCCCTGTCAGGGCAACTGCTCAAACGGGACGGGCCCCCTGGGGCCTCACTAGGACCGCATTCATCACCCAACTTCGGCCCTCCTCGGTTCGTCGGCGAACCTCACATTGTATTAGATGTAGCACCCGGAGAGTTTACCCATGTCCAGCTGGGGGCTACGTGGATATACGGCTGCGTAGGTGGCATTCCAGTCAAACGCAGACGTGAGCAGCCTGACTCGTACCACGGAACGCAAAATTGCTTGACTGCAATTACTTCCCGCCGTTTACCCTTCCTTCCCACATAACGTCACCTCCTTTTCATCGCTCGTGGTACGCCAATTCCAACGAACCGCTGCCTCACGACCTGCTGGCTGTTGAGGGCGTTCCGCCTAGCCACTCTACCCTAGACACGCTAACTCATCCCTCCTGGTGTTCAGCGTGCATGCGACACATGACGGTGAGGGTTTACCTGGATCAAAGAAGAGAGCACCCCTCCCCCTTCCCGCCGTCTCGCTTGTATGCTAAACCATATGGCCTCTACCGGCTGTCTCTACAGGCCAGTGCTGCGGATGTGATAGTTCGTCCCTCATCTTTCGTTGTGTATGATTGCGTCCTGTCTCCCCATCACTCACCTCTCGTCTCGAGAATTCTGGGCCTGACGGACGACGTTAGCACGGCGTGCGTGCCGTGCGTCGTTGCACCGTAGCACGTCCGCTATTCACGCGCCTGCGGTCCCGCCCCGTGTTGCCGGCTAGCAAACGTGCGCTGCTTGGCCGTAAGCCGTACACGCGCGGGGTCGCTGTGCAGGCGTGGTGCGTAGGTACACCGCTCGCCGCTGCTTGTGTGCACGCTCACCACCACGTTGCGTGCAGTGTGCGACCGTCCAAGCTGCGCGGCACGACGGTGTCGCAGCCTGTACCACGGCTAACTACGAACTCGGCCCCCTCTCATAAACAAAAACAATGCAGCTATGACAAAAAAAAGCCGTCAAAAGGCGCGCTGTCTGTGGTAGTATTGGTAATTGATTTATTTATTTCTAGTTGAGTAGTCAAGTGTATGACACAATTGTTTTCTCCATAAAATTAATGCCATGCTCCGCGGTATGACTGGAACACACCCTGCGGAACTCTTCGATCGGTGTTTACGCAAAACCCCCCCCCCACTTCGTCAGCATCGTGTAACCAGTTACGCCCAACATGGCCTTTACCGCTCTCCTTTAAGCTTGATCGCAATCGGCACTAATGACAACCAGGCCAACATGCGGCCGGCTTGCCGCGTACCCCCCGGGCAATATCGTGACGAAAAGGGTTTGACCTAGAAGGTAGCTGTGTTGGATCTGAAAGCTCCCGCAACTCACCCCCAACGCGACCACCCGCTCCGCCTCTGGCGTACACAAGATTTGGACCGGCAAAATATTCTTGCGTCACAGCCAGCTCTGCCTGCAACCTCATGAATTTACCCCGTGACCCACCCCCACCCCGTCCCCCCCCCCCAGATCCGCAAGCCAGCACCGGTATGTAAGCAAGTCACTCACACGCTTCAGGCGGCCCGTGCTTACAGGGGGGGGCTCGGCAAAGCGGGTCAGCCGCGCCACCCCTCGCTACACGCGGCAGCCAAAACAGCATCCGAGGGCTCTAATTTAAAAAGCAATTATGGGGAGAGGCCGCCCAGACCGCGCCCCTGTCAGCACAGGGTGCTCCTGTACACGACCCGGTGGGTTTCGCCCCTAAACAGAAAAGTCCCTGGGCGGCGCCCTGGTAGGTAGTACTCAGTCAGCTAGTAGCGCCGTATAACTTTTCTTTTTCTTCTTCTTCTTCCTTTTTCTTGCAAATGATAGGGGGGCGACCGCCCCCCCTGCCCCCCCTGTGGCGCCGCCCCTGACTACTACTACTAGTACTAGTACTACTACTACTAGTTACTTAAACCGACCAGGCTCTCCGACTAGTTACAGTTTACACGGCGGAGGAGCCTGACACCCTTCCATACGAAATACCTGGTATCTTGAAAACAAACTCCTAATTTCGTAAAATTTCGTAAATAAAACAATGTATTACCACATTTGACCTCACCTGTTACATGTTTGCAACTATCGCATCATTTCTTAATTACTATTTACCTCGAAATACACGTTAAAATAAGAGAATTTCGAACAGCGCTATAATATTTGAACGTTGTAAAACGCCATACTGGATGTTCTTATGTCTATGCGCGAAATACTACGCGAGATTCGCCACGAACTTTCGCTACGTATTATGGGATATCTATTGAAAAATGGCGGAAATGGCGGCGTTTGTTCGGAGTTTCATCTTATCAATTCTAATAATTGCTCGCTGACACGTAAATACATACTCAGTGATAGCGCACATATAATAAATCGAGGCGTGGAAGTACAGAGAAGCGATAAGAATCATAAAAAGTGAGATAATTTAACGTTAAATAGCAGCGCACATACTACCGAACATATTTCTAATGCGTCGGTTTGTGACCCTCTCGCCACGTAGTGTTAAGCGAGATGGGAACTTGTGGCTACTAGTTACTGGGAAGTTGAACGTACCCGGCCCCTGATTAGTTTAGCACACGCGAAAACACATTTGCGCGGGTCTCCCAAACTATCATTGAATCTTAATCTGGCAAATCTGCTGTTATTCTACTCCCTAAAGTTAGACATTTTTTGTTGGAAATTGAAAGCGGTTGCTGTCATCACACCAGAGCAGGGAAAATTGTCTAAGCAAGCTTTACACTGTGAGACACTGCGATCTCCCTTGCTTTCACAAAGGGCTAGACAGGATTGTACATCATCTAGATTCTAGATAAAGGATTGCCGATATCAGGAGTGAATAATAGAGAGGAGTATGGCAGGCTCGAAACACAAGAAATTCAACATTTCCATGCCCATATTTACGCTGATAGGGGCTATGTCCCCCAGGGTACTGCCGAAACGTACCCTGGTACTAACTACTACTATCTAATATGCCGGACCGTACCTCGCCTACTCCACTAATGAGTCTAGGGAGTCGCCTACTCCCTAACCCTAACCCTAACCATATCAGCTAGATAGTTACCAGGGTACGTTCCGGTATACCGGACCGTACCCAGGGTACGTTCAGGCAGTACCCTAAGGGACATAGACCCTATGAGCCATATTTACCTATGATTGATTATGTGAAATCCAATAAAAATGACATCAGAACTAGCGCTGAACGTCTAACTTGTCCTCACACTTTACTGTGTATCGATACCTCTTCTTATTATGTAGTTATATATCTTCGAACCTCGGACGTGGTTTTACTAATAAATGCCGCTAAGTGTCGATCATTTGCAACCTGTAATGCCAACAAGAGGCAGCTTTCATATCTGTTGGCGGGGGTTCGGCTGGGGGTTACTATGTATATATATATTGATCAGTGTATTACTGACCCCCGCATGACCGCCGCATGATGGCGAGTGGCGGGAGCAGCTAGTTTTTGTGAAAGCAAGTCGATATACAGGAACACAACTCTAGTGGAACTGTAATAAACGGGTAGTTTTTGTGAATATGCCGCGTTCATATTGGTTTCAGTTTTTACTAACTGTCCCAAGTGCCTGTGGCCTGTGACTGGCACTGCCACTGGCATGCTCAGCGTAACTGTGGTTTCCGACTATTGATTTTCTTTTCTCAGCCAGCCTCGGCGACCGTCTCGGTATTGTTACCTCCGCCAAGGTCAGGAGGTTATGTTTTCGCCCCTGTTTGTTGGTTTGTCTGTCTACGGGATATCTAAAAAAGTTCCGAAATCTGTATCTGTACTAGTGCCGCGGGTTAGATCCAGCGTTTGGAGCTGGTTGCGCGTTGCAAATCCCCGCCGAACCCCACCAACGGCTATCTCAGAGAAAGCTGCCTCTTGTTGGCATTACAAGTTGCAAATGATCGACACTTAGCGGTATTTATTAGTGAAACCACGTCTGATGTTCGAAGCTATAACTACATAATAATGAGAGGTATCGATACACAGTAAAGTGTGAGGACAAGCTGGATGTTGAGAGCTAGTTCTAATGTCATTTTTATTGGATTTCACGTAATCAATCGTAGGTAAATATGGGCACGAAAATGTTGAATTTCTTGTGTTTTGAGCCTGTCATACTCCTCTCTATTATTCACTCCTGCCGATATGATGAGCGCATCTGAACAGCTAACAGCTAAATCATTGCCGTGCAAATCTGGACCCGGTTCCACAGTCGTGGATTAACTTTAACCCTGAGTTAGTAAACTCCGAGTTAAATTTGGGTTTCATAAACATGGATTAAATCCTGAGTTAAGTAACTCAGAGTTAAATGTTTTAACTCAGAGTTAGACTCCCATAATTCCACGTAGTTAGAACAGATGAACACGATAGACGCATGATAGACGCATAGACGATGAACACGATAGACGCATAGACGATAGACGCATGATAGACGCACGAACATGGTAGAAGTACGGATGCCTGGATCAGCATCGGTACGCCATCAATGGCCGACCAATGTACACCAAACGTAAACAAACACCTATGTTCCAGCGGCAGCGGGGGATCGGACACGGGGCAGTACTAGATAAACTAATTAGCTCTAGTACTAGTACCCTAGAGCTAAACTTTTAATTTCAGTTTTAATGTGGACGAATTGTCCTAAAATAAAAATCCTTTAACTGTTAACAGTACAAGTTATTAATTTCTTATCCTTTTACAATCCAAATCTTGTGCTTTGAATATTTACAGCGGATATCAAGTTTGCGGATGTGAAACTGGGTGAGCTTGGAGCATGGTTTGCTAGGAGAAACAAGAGTCCTCAAGCTATAAGTTCAGTCATTGGAAGGTGTAAGTATGCATAATAACACCTTCCTAAAACCTGGGACGGCTTTCTTTGAGTTATCCCGACTAGTTTCTGACTCATCCTTCATTATGGTTCATTTTCAAATGAAATTCTAAATTTATTGTTATTTGCAGTTATTATATAAAAACGTTTTTTTTATCTTTTCCCTAAAAATGCACAGCATGGCAATCAGTAAATATAACAAGTAACAAGTCACAATTTTACTATTAACTGAAGATTGTAATTTTCATATTTCTGTTAGCATGGTGGAGATGGCAACACAAGTATTGGTTCCCAAGAAAAGCTGGGATGGCACCATTTTTCCAGCTGATGATTGGTACCATGGGAGTATTCTACTTGCTTAACTATGGATCGCTAAGTAAGTACATGTTTATTTGACTGTTATGTACAAAAAACTATAAACATCTCATGAAATATATATATGTATCTATTTAACGGTTATGTGTATTGTCACGCGTGTGTCAATAGGTTTCTGTCCTGTAATGTGAATGGTTTACACTGGAGGGACATCTTCCATTGGTTTGCATGTTCCACGACGTCCTTTGCCTACTATCTTCACAGGTCGTTTTTCGCTTTCTAGAACCTCCTCTGTTAGGGGCATACACTGAAGACCAATTCCACATCGTCCCATCAGCCACCAGGATCCGCCACATCGCTCGCCTTTATCCTAAAACAATGAGTGCGCACGCAGTTATAATCGTTATGAATTATGTCTTATGTTATATTCGCCCCAGGCCTCCAATGTTTGTCGGATCTGACGTGCATTCAAAGCTGAAACAAATTTGCGACATCCCACAATCCCCTGACATGCCTTAATTGTCTAAGGCCATCCTTAAAAGATTAGATGTTTGCTGTCCTCCGACCGACCCACATAAATAGACGCGACCCAAGTGTTTTTTTTAAATTTTGGGTTCCATTTTTTATTTTTTTTATTTTTCATAGTTAAGACTGAAACACAAAGCATGTGTGGCAAACATGAGGACAGACTTAAAATAACTATTATGCCTCACAAAAAAAAGAAAAAGGCCTACCTACCTACTAAAAAAATCATGGGTCGGGGGACAGCAAACATAGAATTTTTTAAGGATGGCCTAATCAGCATGCCTCAATTTCGAACTGTGTTCACTTTTAGTGTGTGTTTACTATTTGATGTATACATCTCTGCACTGATCGAGTTTATCTGTGTATCAGGCCATGTACGATTACAATTGGTGGAAACTTGTCCCCAGGTCTCCCCCATTCCATCCATAAATGTCATGCTTTTTGAAATCCACGAGAAGAACGCTGCTGTTGTGTAGTCACCCACTAATTTTCGATTGTCCACACCTTAGGCCATAATAAAAATAGTTTGTTTGCCCTCGCCTGACCAACCCGCCAAAAAGGGGGCGACTCAAAAAAATTTATTGATCTTTCCCATTTTTTTTTTTACAAATTGTATGACTGTACATTATATAAATCTGTAGGCAATACATTATATGTACCAAGCAAAACAAACATTCAACATAAAAGGTATCTCCACCCAAGCACACCCGAGCACACCCGAGCATGTAGACACCATGCTGAATTTGTAAACAGACCCCCCTCAAAAAACCCTACCTGCATACCCAAACTTTTCAGCCTGGGTCGGCTGAGGGCAAACAAATATTTTTCTAATTGTGGCCTTACGTTATTGTCTGCATGTGCGAATGGGTGTGTGTATGACTGTATGTGTGCATTTATGAAGTGTGTGGACATGTTACTGAGTGAGTGTGTGCAGAAATGTTACCGAGTGAGGGTGTGCAGACATGTTACCGAGTGAGAGTGTGCAGAAATGTTACCGAGTGAGGGTGCGCAGACATGTTAGCGAGGGTGCGTTGATTAGATACTAACTCGTTGCTCCTACTATCAAAGCTAAAAGTTCCCGACTGACTCGTACCTTTGCGCACACCTGACAGCAGTTACACACATCGGGTACCGTACCGACTGTACAGTTTTCAGGCTCTTTGCACCTCAGAAATCTATCCGCTGCCACGTAGCCAACACCTTCTTCACATGCTGCACAGCTTAAACTTTCAGTTCTGCGAGAAATTAAGAGCAAGGCTGGTTATTAGTAAGTGAGAGTTAATATCAGAGTGAATGTGATAGCCATAGGTGGGACCTCATTATAGATGCATATATACCTTATGAACTGTGGGTGTGGTAATATAAATCTTCTGAATCTAACTAGCTACACATTTAGAGGTACGTACGCTTTCATGATGGCCGTTAAGAGCACTGCGGCGCAGATCACTATATTGCCGATTCTCATGTTTGCTCTTCCGAATGAAATTGAAGTTGTTGTAATGTGTCGTATCCGCTGACAGATGTGGTGCCTTTTAAAGGAAGATTGGTATTGCACTGTTGCGAAATTTCTCTCTATCTCACTCACTCTGATTGGTTTTCCTGTAAATGGTTGCTAGTGGATGGAACACATCCAGGCCCCACCCACATTGCTATCGGTGGTGACATTAGTCATCACGTGTACGAATGAATTCGGCGTTGGTAGTTTCGTGTTTGTTTTTTAACTGATGTATTCTTACCTAATGGTTTTATTTCCACGTGGGTGTCAATGCTTGGGTTTAATATAGTTTTTCTGAAAGGTGATTAATATCTCTCTCTTTCGCTCTCTCCAGTCCTTTACTTCTGTGAACTCCTGTACAAATTCACCCATTATAAGATGTGTTGACCCTTGTGGATGTGATTATGTGCTGTGCATGTTTCCTGTCTATTGGGAATTCAGGATGCTTACTTCCCGACCATGTCAGGCGGTGTGGGAATAACGAAGTTGGCGTGCTCTCGCAGTGATCACTTCCAGCAGTTTTGTCTACGTAGTTGAGCATTACAACATTTTGAGTAATGTTGAACGTTAGCAAGTCACAAGTTGGTGTCCCTACTGTGGTGCAAATAATGCATGTTGATATTCGTAGTAAAAGCATCTGTTTTCTTTACAGAACATCATAAGAATGCGAAATACCACTAGCAATAGCCGAGGGAAGGCCAGACTCCTAGAGATGTAGATTCCACATCACCTCTGTCGTCTGTAACAGTGATCAGTTACTTCCACATTTTCCCTCGACTATTTGTGTCGAGCGTATGGATCTGAAGTAAAAAACTACTTGGTTACACGTGCTTCAGTTCTAACAAATTCATAAATTGCCTACACATTTGTTTCCAATTGTTGTGATGCAGAAATATTAAACAAAGTCTGTTAACTAGTTAAAAGTCACTGTTGTTTCTTTATTTTCTCAATATTTTATTACCGAGGACGAGATCGCCTCTAAGTTCTAACGTGCTGCTCGGGAAACTGGGCCTCGACGACCTCGAGTCGGTGTTGCGAACCAGGCGTGTCCGCTGGTTCGGCCACGTTGAGCGCAGCGAAGGCTGGATAAACAGAGTCGATGGAGCGAGGGGGTGGGGGCGTGGACGCCCAACAAAGACATGGGAAGAGACTGTGAAGAAAGACAGGGTAGCACTCGGCCTGGTACAAGTCAACCCGAGTGACAGGGGAGAGTGGAGCGGAAGATTGAGGACTGTTGTCACGCAGGACCCACCCCTCTTCGTGAGGGACTAATTTAGTCCTGCGTCAACAAATAAACGATGAAGATGATGATGATGATTTATTGCATAGCAAAAGCCAAATATGCATATTTTTGCACACACGGTTTGCTCAACTTAATTGTACATATCAACAGAAATACCACAGCCAAGTTTAATATAATTGGTTTGTAGCATTACTTTTATTCATTCAAAATATGTACACATAATTTACAGTACTGTTAGGTGCTGCCATCTAGTGAGGTGAGTGCTATACCAACTTGGCTTGCAACTTCCTGCATTTTAGTTGGCAAATAATGGCTTGGCAGTAGAGCTTTTGGTTGGCATTCTGCTACTCCTGTTGACATCAGACAACCTCTCCATTATCAGCATTATCTAGAAACAAAAACATTCTTTCCGTATCAATTAACATAACATTTCACATGAACAACATAGAATAAAAGATCACATACAACAATTCCGGTAAACGAGAGTATTGAAGTCGTTCGTATCATTTATAATTTTCCAGTGGTGCTAAATAAGGATATCCACAATTTGAAAATGACCTTTAATGCCTTATATTTCACTTGGTCATCCGTTGTTCGCTGGCTTAGCACATCCAGGCTGGATGTTAGGGTACTAGACAGGAGTCCCACACTAGCTACACCAGATCTTAGCAATGCCTCCATCGCCAGCATCATAGCCTGAAATTACACACACGTAGACACACAAGACACTCACAATCTGTGCCCTTCATGAAAGAACAACTAACAAATTGCAACAACTTTCTTGAGACATTATTAAATAGTAATATGCAAACAACTCCTTGACAAATAGCATCACAATAAAACCTGCATTCGCGGATAATTTTGTTTAGACATTTCGTTGTCATACTCACCAAGAGAGACTCATTTGAAGATGAGCAATCTTCCACGTGATCTCTCAACAACTCCACTATCTTTATCACATTGAGGTACAAGACCCTAAACAGAAAGAAAAATCATATGTTTTGCATGCGTAAAACGAACCGCAACTACAAATATGCACACTCACATAAATAGACTGTAACACACTAGTGCTGAGAGGGTCTGTCCCCCAGGGTACTGCCGGAACGTACCCTGGGTACGGTCCGGTATACCGGAATGTACCCTGGTACTATCTAATATGCCGGACCGTACCTCGCTTGAGTCTAGGGAGTCGCCTACGCCTACGCCTACTCCCTAACCCTAACCATATCAAATAGTGACCAGGGTACGTTCCGGCAGTACCCTGGGGGACATAGACCCTATGAGCTATACTAGTAGTCCCTTGCGTGAGAAGTTAGATGTAGGCCCCTACATCCCATACTCACTGCTGCACAAAATCTTCAACCTCTGTCCTGGTAATCATCTTTCCTGATTTGGTAATATCTAAATGTCTTTTCACTAGCTGCTCCTCTTCCGACCAGTTAAACTTTGTTAATTCTTCTTCGGACCTGGAAAAATTATCAACACTTATATAACGCCATACAGTGGGTAGAGGAAAGTGAGAGAGAGAGAGAGAGTATGAGAGCAAGAGAGAGAGAGTGTGAGAGCGAAAGAGAGAGAAGAGAGAGAGAGAGAGAGAAATAGAGAGAGATACTTTACTATGAAATACAATTCTCTATACATATTGATGTTAACCTATGTCATTTCTTCATATTTAACGGAATTTTCACCTGGGGGAAAGCAAGTTAGCCGATATTGGTGTGTCAGACGACTTCATTCCCTCAGGTGCCCCTTCTCCTTCCTCTCCATCATCACTGTCTGCCCAGCCACCTCCTGGCTTGCCGGGTATTCGAACTATAAGAAAGAGTCGTGATATCAACTGTTTGCCAACAACATAACAACTTCACACTAATTGTCTACATGATGAATTCAAATTTATGCCACATGTATGCAAAACAGTGAACAATTCCTGTCTAGCCACCGCCGCAGAAACATTTTGAAACCCGATCTTAGGCAGACCTTTTTTCATGAGAAGACAAAAATATATTCTGTGCAAACGTGGCAAACAGAACATTGTGACCGGCAGTAAAGAATCTATATTACGATAATAATTAAATTAAAATATAATCAAGTAAAATATATAGAAAAGTAATTTATTAATTTTTTCTCATATATGATATGTGACTATAAATAGGTTGGTTATCAGTGAGTGGTACACGTATTGAGGTGATTCACCTTCGCGACATCGAGGGGGACTCTCCATCCTAACTTGACCTTGGCTGCACCGTGGCCCTGAATCCATGGTGATGGCTTCCGTGGGAAGATGGGCAGGTGAGTACAGTCCAAACTTCCCTTCCAGACCATCTCTTAGCAGCGCATTGTCCGACTCTGGTGCCCCGACTAGCTTGTCTTTCAGGTCGATAAGGCCGGACATTACCAAGTCACCAATTGACTCTGTTGTAAGAACATTTTACATAAGTCTGGTCATTACTTAATCAATCTTAATAACGACCTTGGCAATAGAACTACATCTCATATGAAGATGAGAACAAATAATAATCTTACTCTCAGGCAACATCGGGGCATTTCCAAAGCCTTCATACTTTCCAGTCGCACCACTTGTCCCCATTCCATGCAATCTCTCTAAAAGAAGAAACACAAAAGAATTATAGTACCAGTTTAGTATCAGGAAGCCATTGAAAACTTGTCTCTCAATTATTATCCTCAACTTAACAGCAAAATCAACACAAGCAATTAATCAAGGGGATGCAAAAAGAAAGCACGTCATCAAACCTGGTTTATCAGGTACTGGTTTTCGCTGTGTTTCCGCTTCAATCACATCCGTGTTAAACAGTTGTTCAAGCACATCCTGCAACAGTCACACACTCACAATCTCCTCACCTCGCCATGTCCCTAACTGTAGAGGAACTTGTTAAAATAAAATCACCACGCAAACACTGCATACACAAAAATATACATCTCTATCATGATGCGGTAAGTCTGACTTGCCGTGAACAATCCTTTATGACTTAATTCAAACTGTAGCCGCCTAACTGGTTCAATGAGTATCTTATACATGTGTATGTTGATTACCTCTGCAGCTTTCCTAACACTAATGTAAGGTGCATTTCCATGCATGACATCTGGCGGACCGTGATACCCTGCATCAAAGCAGACAATATATTATATCATGCGTATATATACACCATCACGTTTGGATTGGTGAGCATAAGGAAACAGATATCTTCTATCATTTCTATAAATGGGAAACAATATAGCAGAAACCAACCATCCCCTGCTTTGTTTATCTGCCACTCTAATATGTTGCATCCCTCTTGCTCATAGATAATGAACCGTACCAGCCGCATCCTTGATTCGCTGAGATCGTTTTCTCAAGCCCTGTCGAAACTCACAGTGGCCATCACGTATGCAGTGCAGCAGCAGACGCAGCACCTTCAACTTGACATGGTAGGAACGGCTGGCCAGCCTCTGTAGAAAGTAGGCAATCAGCTGCTGGCAGTGCGTGCCCGACTCAAGGGAGAGACCTGCGAGAAAAACATGCGTACGCTATCACCACGACGCAGGCAAACACGAGGAAACCAGAAACCGAAACGTTCGATTGGAGTGCGATCAAAGTATAACTGTAACGTAGGACAAAATATTATGTACAATTAAATCCTGTTGGAATTATGCTACCTGGTCCAGCCCACCACAACCCTTGTCTACATAACGTATTGCCAACACCACCCCTTCTCTAGACACCACACTCAGGTATGCTACTACGGTACTACCTGATGAGAAGTCATCACTAACCAGATGAGGAGTGATAAGTAAGTAAATAAATTTTAATTTTTAATAAAATTATAAAGTAACATATAAATATACAGTAACATATAAATATACAGTAACGTAATAAATATACAGTAACTCTAATCCCTAACACTAATGCTAAGTACTGGCATTAATAAGAGCAATCTCCATTTCATTCTCTATATAGAGGGCACGACCTAGACATGTCTGAATGCACAGGAAACAGCTATGACGATGCGCTAACTTGAATTTAGATAACACAGCGAATATAATTCATAAAAATGCTATGTTAAAGAATGCTTTAACCCACAATTTCGCTCCACTTCAAAGCCTTGCCCACTGTTGAAGTGCGTTAAGTTTGCTGGGGGGGGGGGGGTACGTAAGTGCACCGTTTGTTGTTGTTATAGGCTATAATGTTGCATGTTGTAGGGTATAACTTAATTAGCAGCTGTTTCCAACTGCATTTACTTCTCGGCAAATAAATTATAACTTGCTTAACTGCCATCGTTTACACTAGACGGACTTGCGGCACCGGTTATTGCGCGCAGCGCACAGCGCGCGACGAAGCCGCACCCCCACAGCGAATACGCCGCCCCCTTTTTGTCCAGTTAGACAGATATGTTAGACAGGGGTCTGAAAACGAACTCCGCAAAAACGGGGCGGAATCCAACCGAAATTTCGCGATCGACGGCTAGAGGCCATCTCCAAACGGCCCCTAGAAATTTTTTGGGGTGGCGCACCCCACGGGTAACGCGTAGTGGCTCCTACAAGAAACCCCCAAAAATGCTGTCAATCAGCGACCACGCGCTCGCTCATTGCCCGCTAGGCGATCACGTCATCCGTTGCCGAACAAAGCGTGATGTCAATCACGTGTTTTTACGAACACCGCGCGCGCGTTTTTCAGCAGCGGTGCGAGTTTTTACACTTAGCGGCCGTGGGAGTGGGAGAGAAAGCGAGCGAGAGATAGGAGTTTTTGCGCAGTGCGCGGCATACCACGCGGTCTGACACGCAGCGCGAGAGTGAGCGAGAGAGAGAGAGACCGTGGGGAGTGGGAGAAAGAGAAAGAGAGAGAGAGAGAGAGAGAGAGAGAGAGAGAGAGAGAGAGAGAGAGAGAGAGAGAGAGAGAGAGAG